TAATAATTATTCGATCTAAAAGAAATACATTTATAATTCGCAATCAGAACAAACACAAATCAAGTCTTTATCTTGTAACTAAATTAAAAAACTTCAATGTAAACTTACTTCTATGGCGGGTTGTTACAACAGTCTCACTTTACAAGTTAGCAGATTCTCCACCTGGTAAGTGGATTTAGAGACAGAAAAATGACAACAAAATGACTCCTTTCTCACTTCGATTCCGCTAAAAAACTGACTTGAAACTTAATAATCTAACGCTTTTAAATCAATCTATTGAAATAATGTCAATCACGATTCTTGTCATTGAATAAATCTATCAACAAGAGGCAACGCCTATTTGATAAATGAAACAAACATATCTATCTCTCGTAAGTATTATCTCATGTTATCATTATTTATCTATTATTCTTGAAGACCTCTGCGATGACCCTAGCAATCGGTTAACTCTACGTGAACTTTTCCGTCAAATTATGTCTGTCTTAATCATGCATGGTTTTTTAAATTTTCCAATCCTTCTTCACAACATGGTAAAATTTCTTTTGCAGTTTAATATACTTTGAAACTTAAGATCGCCAAAGAAGAAGGGGTGGACCAGAATTAAAGTTATTGGGAAAGGTAGGGGAGGCGGAGAGGCAAATTGCAAAACAAATCAAATATAATTGCTAGGAAAATTTGAGCGATAAAAAACTTATGCACAGTTAAAAAGCTTAGTAAAATTTCCTTGCAACAGATTTCCCATGGGAGAAAGATTAGTATAGAAATGTGAAATTTGAACAATTTCTTGTTCCCCTTTAGTTATCCCCGCTCTCCCTGAAGTCTTTTAAGTAAAGCTGATGAGAAAAAAAATGAATACTAAAGAGCAGACACAGCTTTTCTATTGCAGTTTCAGTCTCATAAAGCTTTCATCAGAAGTTGACATTAAACAACAACATTTGTATTTTCAGTACTTTCCTTACGGTGTCACGCAACGCTCCCCTCTTTGGAGAGCTATACATGACATCAAATGAGACTAAATTTCCATATTTTCCCAAGAAAATTTAATATTAAGCATCCACACGGTTTTAGAGGAACCAGTTATCAGAGACAGAATGCAAACTGACACGAGATTGGCCCGGAAGTATGAAAAAAGAAGAACAATTATTGCCGTCGCCGAAGTGACAGCCTAGTTTCGTACCCAGACCTTTCACAGCGGCGAAGTGTTGATCAGTGGCTAAAGCTCATTTTCGAAAGGACAAACTTTTAAACCTTTTCAATTTCCACTTATTTCCACAAATTCATTTTCAAGGAAAAGTTATACGAGAAATTGAAAAATTGCAAACAATGGGTTGCTGTTTAATCTTACTTCAAGTTCTCAGATCTCCTGGTTCGCAGGAGAGGAGGAGCGCGAAAAAAAAGCCATTTTCTCATCTTGCTCGTACTCCCGCGCATGAGTATCTTTCCTCATGTTTGCCTCCGTTCTCTTAAAAAAAAAAAAAAAAAGTGTTTTATAAGCTGCATCAGAAAGAGATGCGATCCGACAACAATTAGCAACTCATAAGATTCACTTGGAGTTTGCACCCTCCTAGCATCTAAACATCGATTCTCCCCGTCGCTTGACATAAATGTATTTTTTTCAATTTTAGATCAGAGAACTTGGAGCCTTAGCCACTGATCAACACTTCAAAAGATATAACTTTTCAAACTGACAAAAATAGCTGTAACTATTAATAATACACGGCCAAGCTAAAATAATGGGACATCATTTTCTCTTAGCACAGCTGATTGCTTGGGAGTTTACAATATAGAAAAGTTAGAATAGTCGATAATTTTTGTGTAAAGGTGATAGAGGCTATTTATGTAACGAACTATCTACAATAAAAAGATAAATACCTCTGAAAATAACGTTGTCGGAACCCTCAGAATCAGCTAAGAGCTTTCGATTTTCACAAATTTTGTACGTGATACGTAATTTGACAACCTATCTATTGTTTCAGTTGTGGGTCAAGATGTGATAGCTTATGAAACTGAAAACACGTTTTTGTTTGCTTTGTGGGGAAATGAGAAGTTTTGAGATGAACACGACGCATTGTTCTAATTTTTCCCCCTCTAGTCTACTTTTTCTTTCTTTCCTGTCAATTCAAAAGTGTGATAACTTATGAAACTGAAAACATTGAAAAGCAACATATTCTTGTTTTCGTTATGGGGAAACAAGACGTTTTGAGATAAACACGACCTGTTATTCTTCTTTTCTCTTTTTTCTTTTTAAGTCATCATTTTTCGTCGCATAAACCATAACAGCGTGACATTTTTTGGAAGCCTTTCGAAGAATTTTCAAGCAATTCATACTTGACGTGACAGAATGACATGTCACGTGAAACCAAAAGGTTTGTATGTCGTTCAGAAATTCGAGGGCATAATGGCGTCTAGTCTTTGACTAACCCGTATGTTGTTTTGAGTCAGGAAATGGCTATATTTTTCCACCAAGATGTTCGAGACCTTTTTCAAAACCGAAAAATTATTGTTATTGGTGATTCCATCCAGCGTTCTGTCTACAAAGACCTTGTTTGCTTGTGGACTCAAAAAGACAGTCGTTATCTGATGCAGAGAGAACTACGCGCAAAGGGTGAGCTTGCATTCCTCGGTGACAAACTTCTTAGCGGTGGAAAGCTAGAAGGGAAAATGGTGAATGGTATCGAGTACAGAGAAGTGCGAGAATTCAAAGAAAGCGAGGTTTTTTTCAAGTACTACTTTGTAACTCGGGCTTACAGCGAGCACATGGCATCGATTCTGAATGAGTTGAAAACATGTGGGCCCGACATTATAATCATGAATTCAACCTTTTGGGATTTACACCATTATGGCGACGATGATTTGCAGCAGTATAAAGAGAACTTAGACAAGCTTTTAAAGGAAATAAATGAAATGTTTCCTCTTAGTGTACTGTTCATTTGGAATGCCGCCCTTCCTCTGGCTGAACGATGCAAGGGAGGATTCCTTCGCAAGGGATTTCTCACAATCCCAGTGGATAAGATCATGACAGCGAATAATTTCGCACGGCTCGCTACCACAAAGCATAAGAAAATCTATTTGGACTTATTCAACGAGTTGAAAAACAAGGATAATTTCACGCAAGCCGAAGACGGGATTCATTGGGGAATGCGAGCACATCGCAAAATTTCAAATCTTATTTTGACCAATATCTGCACGTCGTGGAAAAAGAAGTTACCCGATCCTCCCCAGCTGCCAAACCGACCAAACAACAGGAAATCCTCTCCAATACCTTGGTCGAACTATTACCCAGTAAATAGCGACTCAAACGATTGGAATTCACCACCTCCATCTTCCTACAACGGTGTGTACGATGTGGACATTTTGCCATACTGGGATTCGCATTTCACATCCACGGTTTATGATAGATATCAAATCCCTTCACGGCTCCTCTCTGGTAGCTTGACCCCTTATGGCTACGGCCGTAATTTCAGCGTGGGTTACAATGTCCCCTATGTCTCGCAAAGAGTTCAGGAATATCAACCCGTTCAGACAGTCATTCCCTATGTTTTTCAAAGTCATTATCCACCAGTGCAACAGATGAATTTTGACTTTGGAACTCCAGGGGGTCCTTACCATACACCTAAGTATCTCTTTAAACCTGCTTATTCTGATCCCTTTCCAGTGAAGTCTTACAGTCCATTGACTAGTAACCGTTTCAGCTCTCTCCTAGGGAGGGGTCCTGCCTTGTTGCCTACCCCCCCTGGAACTCCATCTTTTGCTGTTTATAGAGATGGCAGCTCTAGTTATAGAGATCGCTTTAAGAAGTTAAGTAACCCAAGTGTGAGAGGGCGTAGATTCAAGGCAAGCACCTCCACTACTTCAGCTGCTGCTTCTATCAACACTGCTCAAAATAGACACAGTCAAACACTGCAAAATTCAGTAAGTGATAAGAATTTAAGTTCCGCTTCTGCTGATTCATCAGATCATAACAACAATAAGGAGGACAGAAACTCCATTGATCAGTCTTTCTTAGAACCAAATGACAAAAATGTAGTTGTAGAGACAGGGGTACCCCATACAGATGAACCAAAATCTCCCTTGAGTTCAGATCATCCAGGGGGGAGCAGTGATCCTGCATCAAATGTGAATGCAGAAGTCCCAGATGGCACAGATGGTGGTGAACAGAAAGTCCAATCTTTAAAAGGTAGCACAGAGATGTCTGGAACAAAGAGGGAGGTTGATGATGAGCTGAAGACTGCTGCTGTTATGGTCAATTCAGCAACGTGTGGAACAAAGAGGAAACTCGATGCTGACGAGCATGCTATGACAGAAGATATTAATACATCTGGAGTTAAGAGGAAGCATGAAGATGACAAGATGGCTTTGGCTGAGGAGTCAAAACCTTGTAAGATTGCTCGTAATGAAAGTTTAACTGCTGATGTTGGCAGTTGTGGGATGAAGAGGAAGCTGAAAGATGTTGAAGAACCAACTGATTTAAAAGATGTCCTGGAAAATGGGTTCTCCCAAGATGATGTAGATTTTCATGATTCAAAGAGAAAACACATACTGCTGGAGGAAAATTTGTCTCAGAACAACAAGGTAGAGCATGAAGAAACACAGTTAGCTAAGAATCTTGCTGTCCATGATCATGTAAGATGTGCTTTGACATATGATAGCTTTATTTAGTACTTTCAGTGCAGCCTTTTTTGCATTTTTCTGAAAGTTTATATTTTTTGATTTGAGAGATGTTAAGAAGGATTAAAAATTAAGTTTTTTCATCAATTTCCCTTTTGTATGGTAAGAAAGAAACCATAGATTTCTCTTAAATACAGTTCAATTGCTTTCTAGAATTGACCTGCATGAAAAAGATGATGTGATACTTGAGGCAAGTTTGCATGCTCCTTCCTCAGTTAACCTAATTGATGCATCAAAGCTCTAACATCTATATCAGATATGAGTGTAAAAGATATTTGATCACATCATTGTAAATATTGACACTATATTATTTTGTTACTGTTGTTAAGCCAGAGAAGTCATTCATGGTTTTACAATTGACATTGAAAAATGAAATTTATGGATTTAAGTACAAAATTAATTCATATCTGCACTTTGTTTAGAGTAATGAAAAATATTGTATTTTTATTGATATTTCTAAGATTGTTTAAAACAAGATAATTTTCCTGTATTTGATTACACATTGATGAGTGATATACACTATTCTGGCAAACATTTGGCTTTAACTGTTACTGGTTCCAACAGACAACAAAAACTGGATTGAGATAGCACAGCTTCAGAAACAAAACAGAACACTTTTTATGTTTGGTTTAATTTTTTTTCTCAAACTTAGAAATGAAGGGTGTGAACAAAATGACCAAAAAAAAAAAGCAGAAATGGTAAATTTCCTTAAGATATCCAGGTTGATCAACTTTGGCACAGTGCATGAGGTCATTCATTTAATACTGCACTTCCTAACATCAGAGAACATGTATTTCCTTTGATACTGTTAAGGAGAATTTGGTTGAAAGACAAAGTTTCTTAGATTGGTAATTATTTCCTTTATTCCCATAATCTTTGTGAGTGATTCAGCAGTAAAACTGTAAGGAAAAATTACATGCTGGTCACTCTAAGCGATTAAAGGGTTTGGGCAGCTTATTTACATGAAGTTTAACCAAAATCACAGTTTAACACAATCAGTGGGCCTCAGGCTTTCTTTGTGAAAGGGTTGATTTATTTGAAGAAATGTCCTTACATCATTAGCTTTTACCCTCTTGACACTGATCATAAAAATAGGCTCAGATAAAAGGTCCAGCTAAATTGAGAATTGTTTAGGACACGGTTTTGCTAAACAGCAGATAAACTATGTTTAAATAACTGGCCCTTAATGTTTGTGAAACTGGTAGATCCCAAAGTGAGGGCTGCTTTTGTTGCAACTCAAAACTCCTCATTTTTTTTGTTGTCATTGTTTTTGTTCCTTGAAAGGGTTACATTTGAGGCCCTTATTTGGGTACAGTTTCTTTTAAGTCTACAGTTCTACCTAACTTCGCATCAGACATGTTTAAAATCGAGATTGATATTGGAAACAAAGTGTAGAAACATGTAGTCATTATATTGGCAGAAGAATTTATTTATTTAATCATGTCATAACTTATGCTATTATATACTTGTGGTGTTATAGTTATAAAGATTGAATCAAAAAGGCTGGTATATTTGTTTGAAGTTAGTGTATACCACATTTAAGTAAATCATACTTTTTGTATTCAGTGTTTGGTTTAATTTCCAACTATTTTTCAGCACATTGAATGAAGTGAACTCATCTTTTGGTATCTGTGTGGGATATACAAAAACAATTATTCACCTTGGTTTCAGTGAAAGTGGTGGATATTTACTTCTCCACTTAAAGGCTCAGTAAATATCCACCTCCACTTTGGGGAAGAATTGTTGATTCTTCTTCTTCAAGTATTAAAAAAGTAAACAGAAAAGCCTCGTACTAAACATTTTGTTCTGGCCTTCTCCAAAGCTGAAAATGTTATTAGATATTTGATTAATCTGGAGATAATCAGCAGATGCAGCGACTGAATTATTGTATATCTCCTGGAAAACACTTTTCAAGAGCTACCTTGGCTTGTTCTTCAACAGTGATTTTTGTATTATTTTGAAATATTTAATTCATTTGGTCTTAAACATAAATATTTCTGATACTCCCTGAGATTCCACTTTGCATTACATTGAAGATTTGAAGAACTTTGAAGACTTTGATTTAAACAGATTTAGAGATTGGATTTTATTAATATTTCCACAACAGGGTTAATGTGTGCTAGATTTACTTTTGTTGAAATGAAATTTTTTGACAAGTAAACAGGTTACCAGAAAGTTTGATGTAACACAGTGTTTGAGTGTGGTTTTTTGTTTGTACCTATTGTTGTCCCATGAAAGTGGATGACCATTTGTGAAGTATTTACCCAGCCAAATACTTACACAACAAAATTTTTTTTTTCCAAGCACAAACCTTAAAAAAAAATTTTTTTCTGCTTTTGTATTTATTTCCTTTTTTGAACTTTTCTGCTTTGTTTTCAATTTTCCTAAGTTGCTCTCTTACATTCATAATTTCTGTTGGAACTGTTGGCTTAATTGTGGTTAAATTTGATTTGTGTTCATGGTGTTATGGAAAGAAAGGCAACTACTTTTGCAGGAAGTTGAAATAAGTTATCTTGTGAAGTTATAAATGCTTGCCTTTAAAATATTCATTTTTGCCTTGAGAGGTTGAACAATCTTGTTGATGTTGGCATTTTTTTATACATCTGGTATTTCCCAGCTCTAAAGTTTACACTTAGAGTAGAGACTTAAAACTTGTTACTACATGTTCCTTACTTGAATAAATTAATTTGGATGGCAATAATAGTTATAGAAAGAACATTAACAATTCTAAATTTATTTACAAACCTATTTGTAATAAAATATTTGTCTTTTTGAGCTTTTGTAGAATACCTCTGGGAATTGTGTCATTTAATATTGAGAAATTCGAGTAGTAATATAGTTTTGTCTTGGAAAGGCAGTTAAATCCAAGTCAACTGACAAATCATTCGGTTGGGTAGAGCTCTCTTGAGAGAGATTTTTTTTGCAAAATTTCCTTTGGAGGAACTTGATGGGGGTTGAAGGTGATTGTCAGGGATTATTCAGCGTTAATTGATTTCCGGTTGATAATTCGCGATAAGTGACAAATGATTTAACAATAGGATCATATTATGTATTTAAAATGAGAGGGAGATGAAGTTGATTTTCTAAAATAAAACGTAAAGTTGCGGAACATAGCAGACTCTCTAGTCTCATTTCTGACATGATGAGGAAACAAGGATAGGCTAGCGGCAGGTAACTGAACAGGGTGTAGTGGGTGGCCTTTGTGAATCATTAGTCTGTGGTTTACCTGGAGCCAAAGGTACAGAAGAATAGAGTAGGATGGGAGAATCTTTTTCCTTTCCCTTTTCCTTCAACTACTTTCTTGGGTTTGGCATGATTACACAAGCAGGGTTTCTGAAGCAGAGACCAGATACCCGAGCAGGCATTATAACAGCCCTTGCGAGTTCACATATTTGTGTGTCTCAACCGTTTGCGTAATCTCATATCTTGTATATAACGACAGGGACCTCGGAGGAAAAAGTTGCAGCTTGTTCACAATCTGATACTGCAGTTTTGAGGCTGTAAAATGGCAATGCATCCTTCATGGATCCCTAAGAGTGACTAGCATCTAATTTCTCCGTACTATATCACCTCCTGAATCCCACATCGAGGTCAGGAGAATGAAAAAAAATTATCAATACAAATTCTCCTTGTCGGCACCTTAGGATATGCATAGAGAACAGTATGGAGAATATGCTTACTCATAATGGGTGTAGATAGTTACTGGAAAGAAAAACAAGAAAACCGATGCAACAGCCGTTACGAATTACCATCTGTTAGTGGTGGCTGCGTTAAAAGAAATATTAAGATGGATAGTGTTTCCATCTCGTATCTCTGCACTGAACGAAAATACTTTGTATCATTTTAGTACTACCTGATCAAAAGCCTTGACTAAGTATTGTTGATGCAAATTTTCTGAAAACGATCACGATAGCTTTAAACGTTTGATGGTTTGTTCGACCTCCGAACAAGGCAGCAACTTCGTGTGTGAAAGCTCTTCTCACGGCGTTGCACAGTTATTCTTTTTTCGAAAAACATTTCATCATAACAAAATTTCCTTCAAACACGCTAGAGACATTTCTGTAATCAAACATTTATTTCTTCAAATCAGGTACAGATGTAGTGAGACTGCGCAGATTACGAGAGCGACGTCAAGGAGGCCTTGCACGCGTGTTTTCCCGGTTTCCTGCACAGAAAAGCGCGCTTTTTATTTGTGTATCGGACAGTCAAGTTCAATTTGTGATGGACGATCTTCTTCGAAGTCACTGTGTTGATTGCTTCAGGCCAAACCACGCTAATGAAATTTAAAAAATGCATGCCGTTTTCATTTCAAAAGCATAGCGAATCAAAGTAATCTAACCCAAAACAGCGTTACTGTCCAAACTACTTAGAATTGATTTTAGAACGCACACGTTTGGATGTGCAGTCGACTATTTTCCACCGTCAAACACGCGAAATGAGAGCAGGTGAGGGCCAGCAATTATGCAAGTGAATCATTCTGCTAGAATTAGTACGGTTTATCTACTCTCATTGTTCATGTTTTTTTATTCATTATTTAATTTTAATCGCCGTCTGCAGGATTTAACATCAATCGCTTAGCGCAAGGTGACAGGGATCGGAAATGGAATATTACGTTCATCCAATAGAATTATAGGTTTTTTTTCGATTCGTGAACGTCTCAATGTAATCTTGTAATGCACGCGTGTTTGTGAAATCCAGAGAAGGGAGTGCAAAAAAAAAAGTGCTTTATACGACTAACGACCGCGAAAATATCATGATCTCGAGACTTATTAGATTGTGTTGGCAGCAATCGAGTAATTCCCAACAATTCTTCACCTTTGTTTCTCTTATCTACACGTGAAACGGAGCGGTTTTTTTTTTTGAAAAAGAAAAACGTTTTCAAAGCTCTCCATTTTTTAATTTTTTATGGCTGATCGCAATTATGCGAATAGGGTCTCCGCTCTTTCGTTTTTCAGTGATTACCTATTGAACACCAAAGCGAGACAGTTTGCATTACTAATGCCGACGATAATTATATTCATGCAAAAAATTTTACCATGGACGTTGAACGGGTCAGTTTAGAACAAAATAAGCAGAAACATGAAATAAATTTCAAAAGTTGAGCGCATAAAATTGTATAGTACAGTCTTACAGCCAATGATATCACCGACGGCTAAACCGAACAATCAGTTTTCACAAACCAGACATGGTACTTTCGGCTGGCAAAAACCATCCACTAAACACTGATGATGACTTACGCTTAGGTAGTCGAAACTCTGACAACAGTCCTTCTTAGGAGTACACTCGCCCGGGCGATCAGAATACACTTTCGCATATTACCCCTAGGGCTGAGACCATTTACTGTAGTATGGACAAGAAATCAAATCCCGCAATTTGGAATGAATATAACACTTTTTTTTTCGGGCGAAATTTACATGCGCTTAAATTCATTCCAAATTGCACACGAAATCATGTGATCGTCTAGACAATCTGTACACTGAGAGATTTAACCCTCTGGATTTATCATGCCGAAGATTATTTCATTGTTGTCGGTTTTTGTAAAAGAAACGTTTAAAATTCTTAATCCTCGAGGTTTATTAACTTTTGTACAGTCTTGCACGATCAGTTTTAGTATCTAAACAAGCCCATTAGAAGGTTCAATTCTCATGAGTGCGTAAGTTGTAGTGATAGAGCAATCTTAATGTACTTAGGAATTTCCGGCAAACAACTTGAAAGAATAGTAAAGAGAACCACGCGAGATAATGTGAAAAGGTACAAAATTTAATGACGCTTTGAGACTCTTTGTCCTGAAGACAAAGGAACAATGCGAGATCGTTTGAGCGATATTTACAGATTATTAGCTGTCTTTTCAAGCAAAGCAATGAGCTTCGGTATTATTTTAAAAGTTTGAAAAGAAGTTTTGTCTCAGACATGAGAGTCAAGCCCTTCCATCTTTCTTTCCTATTAATTACCAAGGTCTCCAAAGAGGGTCGTTCTCCGGTCTCAAAGCCTGAGCATCTGGAACATTTAGTCCTTGAAGCGCTTGGAAATCCACCGTCGGTTTATTAAACACGGGGATTAGATGAGGAGTAGAAACCATGGCCAAGGGGGTGTTTTGGCTCGGTACTAGTACCGCGGCGATTTTTCCGTTAGCCAGCTGCCCTGGAACGATTTGAAATTGAGTCGTGTTTAGAAAACTTGGGCTTGTCTCTAGACTTTTTGATTGATTTGAAGTAAAACGTGATAGCTCTAAAGGTGAGGTCACTGGCAACGTTATGGTTTGTGATTGCGGCAATGGGGGTTTTTCTGATGTCGTTGTTGTTGGTTTCATGATCGGAGGACAAGGTGTACAATAAGAAGCGAGATGTGAGAGCAAACGCGCGCGGACCTGAACATCCAAACCTTCCAGTGACATAAGATATCGGCTCACTTCATTCGCGCACTCGTTGTATCCCGCGCGGTAACGCGCCATTGTATTTGGATCGCTTGTGTTACTCACACGAGCTGCGGAAATGAAAACAAAGTGCATTAGTAAGCATTGATGAACATCCCGGTGAGTCTACTGTACATAAATGCTAATAAAAGACAAGGTGCGTCAAGATTCATACAGTTGAAAATGTACAAGCGTTTAAATCTGTAAATAGATTTCTGGTTTTTATTATACAAACAGTACCCATCACGCTGAGTTTCACTTCAGGTATTCACTAATTAAAAAAAAATTATCTTGTGTCGGACTTACTTGCCGCACTTTGAGTCCTCATTGATCGCAAATAACGCACGGTCATCTCTAAAATGTCAGCTTTTTCCAATTTGGAGTAGCAAGAGGTCTGAAATAAAGAAAATCCTGTAAAATTTTGATGCAATGTCTTGTCTCGAAAAAGATAAACGCGTCAGGCATTAAACACATGTAATAAACGATTCAACAGCTAAGGCCGTTCACATAACACATAAACAAAATTTAGCAACAAATTTACACCCTGGAAATATATACACGCTTTTGTTTTACTGTTAATCAAAGATCTCTAATAATTGAACAAAACCCGGCGATTCTTGTCAAAAGATTTTGTGGGAAAAGAAAAAAATTGTTAACCGTTTTTATAATAATAGTTTGGCTTACATCTTTTTTCATAGCTTCCAGAATGAGGTTTTTTAATTCATTGAGGCTTTGATTTATCCTTGCCCTTCTCCTTTTTTCCATTAAAGGCTTGGAAGACTGAAATAAAATTTTGAAATTAATCTTTGGTTAGTCTATTATGGCTTTCACTGAGCACTAATACAGCATAGTATATATTTCAAAACATTCAATTTTTTTTGAAAGTTTGAAACTTTTCAAACCCTTAGTACCTTCCGTCTGTCCTCGGTCGATGGGTTCCTTGTTGGACTTTCAAGACCCATTTTTCCACAACATAAACCTTTCCCTCACACAATTCCACGCTCAATCTTTTTCGCGCCGCAAACGTAAAATCAGCCACACTTCGTTCTAAATCCTTTTTATGCCAGCAATTTCTCCGAGCGTGGGAAAATTTTCGGGGACATTTTGCCAATTGAAAAGTGTTACCTACGAGCCAATGAGATCGCTTGTACCATTCACTGTAAATAAACCTTTGCTAACAGAGCGTGAGAACGTCTGGCTGTGATTGGTCGGGCGATTCTCAGCGCGTAAGGCAAGTATGTCTGTGCTGTTGTTTAAAAGCAAATTACATTATGGCTTTGCGGTGATCCTTGCGCAAACAATGATTCTTATTAAAACTTCATTAAGCAAAAACAGACAAACCATTGTAATTTCTAAACCGTGTCCGTGGGAACAGTCGAAGCTCATTGGCTGACCCGCCGAAAAGAGCTCGCGCATGACAATGCTAATAAATATGTTTAAATAAAACGTTCCACTGCCACAATGAGTGTTTATTTCCGCACGTGCCCATGCATTGTCATGGCATGATTCGAACTCGATGGGGTTCACTTATAAGGTGACCCGACCGTGAGCAAAACAAAAGGCGCTGAAATTTTCCCACGATCAGTCCTGGTGCGAATGTTTATTCATGAATATCCGGAACAATTGTTGCTTAAAAACAAGTCTAAACACAAACGCGAAGAATTTAAACAACGCTCTGTAAAGTGTACAGTACAATCTCTGTTTAGAAGGCGAGATTGTTGAAAACTCACGCTGATCAGAAAGGGTAACTTAAGAGAGACAAATTCAAGGCATCTACAGTGCACGAAGCTATTAAAATGCCCGACTTGAGTTAATGAGAGAATGGCAACCGTCAAAGAGGATTTGAATAGATCAGTCAACCTCTGGAATATTTCTATGACGAACGAACAATGAATGACACTGTTATGGTTGCTCCAAAAGGTATAAACCCCTCAATTAGATTTAAACTTTCTATAAATTGAATTAAATCTACGAGGACTTTTCACGATGGAATAAAGTTCGTCTCTGAAAGTCTTCTTTTTCTCCCTTTTTTTTTCCTTTTTTAACTGAATAAACCCCTGCCATTTAACTTGCAAGAATCACCTTGAAGAGGTGCATTAAGAATTAATAACATGTGTTAATTGACAGTTTTCTGTTTTGAGAGCTTCTGTGAGCACTAAAAACCTGCCAAATGGTTCATTTGCCATATAACTGTCGAAACCTGTTTTGTTTATATTTAGACAATTGCACATTCTCTACATTCTACATCACTGAGTCATTGCATAGAATTAAATATAAAGCCCCGGTTGTTCGAAGGTTGGATAACGCTATCCATTGAATAAATCTCTTTCTGGTGGATATCCAGTGGATAGCGCAGTACGTTTTACAATCACTTATCCGCTGGATAGCAATTTATCCGTTGGATAACATTGTCCGCCCTTTATACAACTGCGCCCAGAACCGCATACAGGTGAAGTTTATAAAACAAAAGCAAAGACTGCAAACGAAAAGTGCCATTAGACAGACTTTCGGGAAAGTCAAAAAAGCAATTGTAAAGTTACCTTTGGGTCCATTTTTAGCTTCTTTTAATCCAAATTAATAAGATTATTCACTTTGTCAAAGCTTGCACACACGCAAAGCCAATTCATACTTATATTACGCTGGAAAATTGGTGTGACCTGAAGTGAATCTTTCAAGTAGTGGAATCTTTAAAATTGATATTTTGCTAAAAATACGACCACTCTAAAGGACTCTCGATAATTGACGAATACCTTAAATTCAGGATTGGAGTTTCTATGCGCGCTCTTAAATAAAGGCTGTTTGAAAGGAAAAAAACCGTGGCATTTCTGATTAATTCGGTTACAGAAGGCTGAGGTAAGAGAAAGTTTTGCTGGATTCAGGCACTGGCATGTAAGATCCACCTGTATCATAAATGTTGTTTCTAAAGCACTTCTGTTGCTGTTTTAAAAAATAATCAGCTTCTGTCAATTAATGCGACCTGTCAGGACATGAATTTCAACAGCATTAACGCTTGTTTAAGTTACCCTGGAAAAACAGACCCTTGAGTCCTGTTTCCATCTTTGGCTTTCTTTTTTCATTCGTTTATTTGTTTCCAAGGCAATACATTCCCAGTTTTACTACATACATGGGCTCCAGTGAAACAAGAACAACTACAAAGAGTACGCAAACACCAGCTGATCTGCTGAATTTATTCATCTTAATATAAGTTGTAATATAATCAGTAATTCATTCTTTATAAAGAGTTAAGTCATTCTTTCCATTAAAGGGAAATTTTCCTCTTCGATCGACCAATTGATCTGTTGATACCTTACATAGTAAGGAATATTAAGAAGGAAAATCACACTGTAATTGATATCTAAAACAATACTTTCAGAAAACGATAACTCAGCAAAAATACGTGTAAATAAACCATCAAATGGTTTGTTAAATATAATTTAAATATATTTTTTTCTTAAGTGTCACTTGGAATATTAAATAATCTCGTAAGCCATGCACTCGGTGTTTTAAAAAGGCTCATTGTTAAGAGACATTCTGTCAGGTTTGAAAATCGACTCTTTAAAATCATTTGTAAGAATTTGACTTGATTATCATAACAGATCGACTTGTTTTGTGACAAAATCTCTGAAATATGTCTTCACACTCTAGACTACAGCATCTCTCATTTCCTTCGCAAGTGAAAAAAAGCGAATTTGCTACCTAATAGCTGAATTACATATGTCGCTAGCATGTACTCAGCATTAATTTTAAAAAAATTACGTAGAGTTAAACCTTAATCAAACCATTGAAATTAATCCTTTAAGAATCGCAATGTAATTAAAATCAAAAGAACTAAACACACTTCTCGTATAAAACGAAGACCAGCTTGGCGAGTTTTCTTAGTCAAGGAACCGATTTCCAAAAAACTGGCCTGGTATCTAAGCCTAAAGGCATCATTTCCGGTGGAGACATACCGTGCTTTGGTTCTTTACTAAATACGGGAATAAGGCTAGGTTGCGAAGCAGCGGCTGCGGTGCTTGAGTCTACCAAAAAGGGATTGACTGTTGGTAACAGAACCGCCACTTTGCCATTTGTTAATGGGTAGGAAGCTAAGTGATACTGAGCTGAGGGAAGAAAACTAGGACTGCTTTGAGGCAGGAATGAGAAATTTGCCGGAGAAGCCATTGTGGAAAGCGGCGGCTTAGGTAGAATTGGTTGGTTTGGAAAGGAAATTTGAGGTGACTGTGGTTCCCTTAAGTCAGCAGCTTCTGCAGGTTTGGTAATAAGACAGCGGGACGCAAGATGTTCTAACAGCCTACTCCTAAGTGCAGAGTCGGTGTTACCCAGGCCTGTCAGTACACGGGTGATTTCGGATGCGCATTGGTTAAATCCTGCGCGATAATTGGCGAGGGAGACTGGATTTGAAGATGGATTACCTGTTGAGAGAGTTTTAAGAATTACATAAGAACCCTTGATTTAATCGTCACGCGGACGGCTCGGAATACTGAGACTTCCCATGGGGAGTCTATCTATGAATAGTTGTAGTGGAATTCACGAATTCCAGAACCTAGACCTGAATCTTCCATCTTATTTCCCTGACTTTTTCTCGCTGCAATCATCACAATTATCAAGAACTATCACGCTCCATTTCAGAATTTTCGTTTTTTTTTTTTAAAGTAAGCCATTAGTCTGTTTGAAGGAATTTACGAAGAGTGACACTACTCCTTAGGGATAACATTCAACCTTTGAACAAAAAAGTGTCTTTAGGAGCCTCCAAAATGTTGATTTGAAGGAAAATTTCATGCTAATAACTTTTTATAAAAGGGTTTTACTTCCTCATAAGATCCATAGCCTGCTTTAAATTCCCACTTTTTGGCCCCTAAAACTCAGGCATAACTTTCTTATTGATCTGTGACATCACAACAGCAAAGTGACCCGAAACCCCTCATCATGATCATAAAGTTTGAGTCAGATGCAAATAATTCAGGGAATGAGGAATTTGATTTACCTGTGTTTTGTTGATTTTTTAGATTTTTCAAATGTTGAACCGTCATTTCCAGGATATCAGCTTTTTCTAACTTGGAGTAACAGGAATTCTAAAAAAAAAAAAACAATCCAAAGAAAATGTAGATTCGCTGTGATAATAGTTAATTTTGATCATCAAATGTATTGAAATTAGATTTAATATCCCAACAACTACAGCCGAACTGGTTAAGTTTCTCAGCTCTCCCTTTAGATAGTTATGGTATAAGTATTCTAGTTTTTGAAAGAATTTAAGCGTTTTGAATCGTTTTGAAAATTATCTTTACTGGTTTATAATAAGAGAGATTTGCCTAGACTTGAAATTGACTCCGTTCTCCATCACTTCTTGCATAATACCCTTGAAACTTTTAGCATAACATGACTCTCAAGCATCTGCTAAGATATGACTATTCTCTATGACAAAAAAACCAGATAAGGAAATCTAAGTATTTCTAATTCCATGAAAAGCGATTTGATCGCTAAGGAACGTGTCTGTGAGAATGCAAGCGTCAGTTATTTCTAGATTTTTTTCTCTTGTGGAATAAAGAACATTGTTCTTGGGTTTATGTCTTCAACAAAAGTGAGTTTAACTGAGCAAAACACAAAAAAAAGGAGTCGTGTGTAGAAGATGTCAACTCCGGTCAACAACGCGAAAGTGCTGAGAACTTTGCGAAAAGTTGTAAGGCTTAAACTTTTTATAGTTCTTGCTGACAAAACAGTTATTAATGAAACGTCGAATTAATTTTATCTAGTTTGCTGAACAATAAAGAAATGTACAATTGTGATTTAAGCCTAGAAGAGGTGAATACTTACATCTTTTTTCATGGCCTCTAGGATTAAACTTTTCAGTTCGTTTAAACTTTCATTTATCCTGGCTCGTCTTCTTTTCTCCATGATGGGTTTCGACGCCTGAACACGGAATTATAGAGATCGTATTGCATTTGCTATCGTGCTCTAAATAAAAACAAAAATTCAAGCAAAAATTTTTTGCTAGAAAAAAGATAACTCAAACTTGCCTTTCTGCGGTCTCTGGAGTTGGTTTCTTCGCTCATTTTTGCTTTGGAATTGAATGCCCTTGATGATGTATGTGGAGTGATGACAGCTAGGTATCGACTGTTAGGTGCGGAAATATTTTCAACAGGTCAATCACGGGATTCACAAGTATGCGAGTCTTTGTCTCAACCTTTGTTTATGATAACTGATCCATTGTAATGAGCGTGGGAAAAATATCCACAATCCTTAACAATGCTGAGAAGCGCGCTGAATCGTCCAATTAAATCCCGCTATCTTGTTTAAAAACAAGCACTGTCCACAATTGAATCCGCATTTGAAAAATGTCGGGGCGAGTGAAGGTCGTGAGAGCGCTGCGCGCTGATTGGCTAATCTTAAGATGAGCACGCTTGAGTGGTGGAAGTCGCGTGCGTGTAATAACTCAGCAACAATATTGTGTATGGAGAATCCAGTGTTGTGTCAAGTCTCTCTTTAGTGTCTGCTCAACAGGGTCGTGGGAACAGAACACGCTCATTGGTCAGGCGGTCCACTCTGTCTATGCCACAGGATTTTAATGGTTTCATGGGTCACGTCTCACGAAAAGGATTTTAGTTTTTATGTTGTCAGGCACACTCCTTGTATTGAACTGTGTGTAATACTGCCATAAATAATACGGCAAACAACGTCAAACAGTTGATTCAGCCACACGAAACCTCATTCTCTTGAAATTCCGTCACTAAGTTAGTATTGTTTCATCGAAGCGCTTGCCACATGAAATCTTACTTTTGACGCTAATTAAAATAAGAGAAACTTCTGAAAGAGGCCGTCTTCTGCTGTGGTGTAAGGAAGGAAATAATCCTCGTTATTAGAAAAAGATTACCATTTTTGCTGTGGTAACCGAATGAAATAGACTGGAAATGCCGCCATTCAACCCAAATAAAATTCTAATTGGATAACTTCAATTAACCTGCACTTAAGATTGCATTAATTCAGAGTTTGGAAAAAATTTATAAGCCGTTCACGAGTGTCAACATTCATCCGACATCATTAATTATGTTTTAAAATGGCGCGACGTCAGTAACAAAGAAAAAATTCTTTTACAACTAAATCAAGGGCCCTGAAAATCTGTGTTAGAATTTGCATTTAATAAAGCTACTTTCCCGAGTTCTTCACCCTAAACTTTTCGATCTGTCTAATATGTTATATGTGCTTCATGATTTCTTTACTTCTTGGCCCCCGTTTCGTGAAGAGGCTTTCTATGAAGGACCATGTATGCTTGTAAAGAGAGACTATTCTTCTCTCAGCGGGAGCAGTATAGCGTTGGTTCCGCTAGAATAAGTTACATGTCTTTATTTCACTCAATCACAATTTGTCTTTGATTTCTTGTAATCTAAATTAGAGATAGAGTATTTTACAGGTCGTGAAGCGTTCTTTACCTGGAATACCTACTCTTCTGTGACGATGGAAAGTGTGTCACTCCTCAGTCGTCGAGAAATTACTTTTTCAAATGGACATAAAAAACGTCATCTTTGATATAAAAAGAGACTAAACAATTTCTAACGCAAAGTTTTGCCTGGCTTAATGAAACAAAAGAAAGAAAAAAATAATAATATTGTGTGTAATTTGATGAAGTATGCAGCTTCTGTTGACTACAAAAAAAGGTTAAGTTTAGTCAAATCATAGCTTTATTTGTTCAAGTGACGCCACTTGCCTTGGGCTACGATCAATTATGCATAAGTTGCGCAATTTGTGCCTTAGAAAGACTCTCAGATCCAGAGATTTCTAATTCAAGCCGATTGTCAACTGTAGAAGGTTCTATTTGTGCTTCTGAAGTGTTTACACACTTAGCCTTTTCAATTTTTAGAAACAAATGATCCCCTAGTCAGCGAGAAGGCAAAGCAATTAAATTAGAGGACAAAATCACCAATACTGCAACCTCCAACAAGAGATAAGGAATCAAAAAGTGGCTCTTTACTGAACTTTTAGGCAAGTTTCTAAATATTTCGAAGGCGAACCAATGAATCGACTCCGTGCAAGTCGTTCATTTTTCCGCTCTCCGTGAAAGCCCGACATGCTAAATTAAACAAGAATTTTGCCATGAGAATCAAACAAAACAGTTTAATTATAACACGTAGACGTTAAATTCCTGTGTATTTGCCAGCTTGAATCAAACATTTGAGCTTATAGACATAAAAATTAGGATTAATACTTTGCTCAAGACTTTTGTCTGCTCATCAAGATTTCATAGTTTGGCAAATATGACGCTATTTTAAATCATGGAAGGGTATTTATTGGTTGCGTCAAATTTTGCACTTATATAAGATTTGACTCAAAGAGATGCTTGTTTTAAGAGCCGACGGTTCTAGCGTTATTATGCATCACCGAGTACTTTACCATTGTTAAAATTTAATAGCAACCTAACTTAATGATTGTCTTGACAGCAGTCAAATTAAAATTGGGAAATCAAAAGTTAACGAACATTCTGTCAAACTAGGTTTTCCTGGTGATCTGAGTAATCATCGGAATTTTTCAATAATGATCCATTTGAAAATTCTCCGTGCTGGACTTGGCTTTGTGAGCCTGTGAGATGAATGAAAACTGAAACATCCAAAGAAACCTAAACATAACTTACAGCAAGCTGAAAATTCATGAGAATTTAAAAAATTTCATCGATGGGTCATGAAAACTTTCACATTTTCTAGAAATCAATTTGCGGATCAATGGCGCTTTCACGGCAAATCCAGTGAATACTTTCCGTACTTCTATAATTTAATTTCAGTCGCCTTCAATGAAAACTGAAAAGTTCCGAGTTCTTATTGTGAAAAGTTTTCCTGACCCACCGATGGAATATTTTTTAAGTCTTAACGAAAATATATTCATGAGAAACAACCACTCAATTCCATGGCTACTACAAAAAGCACGCAAACTCTACCACTATGTATGTAGGACCTAAAAATATCCGGCAGTTTTCCGTTTTCTAGCAAGGTCCAGAGGTTTTAAACTCTCTTACTCCTGAGATCACTGGCTCAACATCTCTTGCATCTATAAGAAAAAAACTCCTAATGTCTATTCTAAACAGCCACTGATTCTGCTATGGACTATTACATGCCTTTTCAACACGTTATTTACTATGTCTGTTGTCTAGATTTAATGGTATCGTACTAATTGTGGGGGAACCTAAGATTGCAACCTCGAACAGCCTTTATTAGGCTTCCCCGCCATGAACACGTTTTTTTTTCTCTACCAGTTGCTGTAAACTTTTATAATTCTACATGTGATAAATGGTAATCGAAATAACATATAGCCTGTTTTCATACTTTTTAAAGTATTTTATAAACAAAATTTTACCTCCTAAAATGAGAGATATCGTTGTCAGCGGAGATGGATATTGTTGTTACCGAGATGTTGCTCACTGAAAGGATAAAATAAGCGATGAAAAACATGAGGAAATCCCCAGGTCAAGTGATAGTTTGTTTGAGAAAATCCAGAGGTATTTGAGCGGCAACCTTTCTTCTAGAACGCCGTAGAGGATCTTGTCAGGAAAAGCAAGATCACGGGTACTACGGCAGAAACTGTGGACATATCATCAGTTGTGCATTGCTCCTTTCGAGACCAATTTGTATTACTCATCGTCGCAGAAGATAGGGTTCAGTTTTAAGCCGATTACCAACACTAAATCGTTCTCATTGATCACAAAAAAGAAGCAGTGTAGGTGTTTATCAGTTTAATGTACCACAATAATAATATTTAATGCTCATTCAAGCCATTTCAATCTCATGTTGCCTCGATGTAGCCTTTGTCCCAACATTACCAAGCCACGAAAAAAGCTAGAAGTAGACTTAACACGTCCAAAAACTGAAAAGACTTTGTTGAGTTTTTTCGGCGATATACTACTAGTTTTTCTAAATTTCAAGACCATTACACGATGTCAAATTCATAATAAACCTTGCGCATGGAGACAAGTTAATCGGTAGATTTTACAACATATTTCATGGTATTTCAAACAAAAACTTATGCTTCCTTTGTCATCAGTATTACCCAAATTCATTTCTAATCAAAGAGCGGCGGAAAAGTGATAATCTCTCACTAAGATATTTTTTTTGGACGTTGGAATAACCTTTTGCCATACGTTTTCCTTGCTGTGAGTTGCAATGTTTGCCCCGTGCGCAAACGCAAGAATCCGATTACTGGCAACTCATTCATTTCCGAGTTATGACCGAGAGAGATGTATGTTTGTCAAAAACATTATATTTATCTTGTTAGTTTTTAGTCATTCATTCAATTGTTCATTTCTAGCATACGAGAAGAAGCGGGTTTATTAGTATAGACTCACTCACCCTAAAAACTAGGTTCGATTTCCGCCGCTCTCTCGTGTCCGGTCTTCGCTCCTCCCCGAGAAGGGTGTAATGATTTCAAAAATGTTTCTGGCAGTGTCGCGAAAACATGACTGATAATAGGAAATGTCCTTACAATAGTGGCGCTATTACACAACACACACACCTCACTCAACAACAGGACTTCTAGCGGACTTAACCGAACTCAAACACTAGCATTCATCAAAGGGCTCTTGGAGCCAGCCAATTCATGTTATGGCTAAAGTTTGTATTGATATCTTGGACTTATTGAATATAAATACAGTTGAATTCGCTTTATGTGAAATTTCAAGACTTATGGAATAAATTTCCTTTTCTTTTTGGGTAGTTGTGTGATGAGAAAACTTGTGCATTTGTCGTGATGGGAATTGGATATAAGGTTGTGTGGGTTCGAGGTGGGATGGGCAGAGGTCATCAGGCAGACAGTGCCCTTTTTGTTGGTGTGTGTGCCGTGTTTGTTGGGTGGGTGGGGTGGGCATGATCATGCATCAAATGTTGCTCCAGCAGAAAAATATTTGTGACTATATTTTCATTTGCACTATTCTGAAATGTTCCTTGCCCGTTTCTTGATATCTTTTGTTTTTAACAAAGCGGCCACAATCGTTCTTAATAGAATTTCAAGCCTTCATAAAGTCTGATTTTCACATATTAAGGGCCTGTTTACATGGAGCTGGAGGCTGGAGATGGGGGACCCCAGGTAGGTGAGGTAACCCGCCTAGCCGTGGTCGAAAAGTAAAACGCATTTACATGCAATCTTACAACCCCGGGGTACTGGGTTGAGGTTTCTTGAGGTTGTTGTTGCGCTTGCAATTAAGGACTTTGAGCAGAGGCGTCCCAAGTTCACATCTCGAAAAAGACGAAAGATTAATTCTCGGACACAATTGTATTTATTCATGCAAGCGTCACGCGTTGTGTTACGCGGTGTTTGGCTTTGCAAGGAACCGTTGACCTAATACGATATACGGAATAGTTTGGGAAACCAAACATGGTCGATTTACAACGCTAAATATTCTGAAATGTGAACATTTTGCACTCCTTGTGTGTCCGTTGCGGTTTCTGGTGATTTCTGCCACAAGACGGCAAGGAAATATACAAAGATTTAAAACATAAATGTTTCGCTGTTGAGCTTTTTGCCATGAATGCGACCCCGGCTAGGCGGGTTACCCCACCTTGACACGTTTACATGGCAAATTGTCACCCCGGCTGACAGGGTTACCCTACCTGGCAGACCGGGCAACCCGCCTAGGCGACAATAGTGCAAATAATCGTAAAAGATGATCGCGGAAAAGCGATTGCGTGACGCTCGGTAAGTTGTAAGATGACGTGTTGTTATCACGTATCAGACGAAAAAACAGTGTAAATTCTCAGTCTGCATTTTGTACCTAGTCTGCATTTTGTACTTAGTCTGCATTTTGAACCCGGTCTGCAGTCTGTATTTTGTACTGACCGGATTGGTAATGCTGTTTTTTTTTGAGAGGCGGAGCCTCAAGTCCGGACCTAAATAATGGAGCTCGAAAGAAAATTTTGCACTATCTTGGCCGCTATGATTGATGTGTTGACTGTATGTTGAAGAGCTCCCGAGGACAAGCACAATGATAGAGCAATGATTACATTATACCAACTGAAGACGAGCGCAAATGCGCGGCTTGCCAATAAGGCTGCCTCTAAAGCTGATGCTCTTCTGCGTGGTCACAGCTTGCTTTGAAATGAACCCGCTACGGGTCCCCTACTGTAGGTGTGAACATTTCGGTTTTTCGATTCAAGTTGCATTTTTAGAAGTTCAGAAATGTGATTTGGGGTTGTTATTGTAAAATAATAAAAACATTTAATTTCTTTCCACGTGAGTTTCTGAGCTTCATCGAAATTAATTTTTACTTTCACTAAGTGGGGAGGGGTAGCATGCGAGACTACTTCCGTTCACGGTCCACAATACTACTTCCGTCAACATCTACTCCACCACGATACCTCATTCATTGCTGTCAGCCTGAATGAGCTAAAAATGAATTAAACACGAGTAATGTTAGAGAGCGTTGGAGAGAGTTAAGACAAAGCTGTTGAAAAAGGATCAAAGCGGCAATTTAAATCTTCGAAAGCCTTCAAACTACGACGTACATAAAATTTTGCTTACTTGAAAACCGGTCTCAATTTACATACCAGACAACAATGATTGCGTTTGTCCTCGAACGCAACTGAACACGCAACAAATACGTACAAAAAATACTTCTACCGTTCAGTGTAAGTAAAATTACATTGATCTGTGGCGAAAGGAAGAAGAAACGACCTAAGTTTTGGGAATGTTCAGTCAAAATATGCCGGTTTCGCCGGCATATTGAAATTAATGCTACCACAATACAACGCAGTCAGAGTGTGCACACTTCTCGGACAAGTACTGAGTTTCATGTTCTTCATCGTGTATGCGGAAGCAAAGGATGATACTCGTTTAGTCACTACAGTGTAGCCATAAAACCAGGCGACCCCGACGATCGGAACTCGCGCTTCAAGGCCCCTCAATAATCTACGAAGAACTTGAAATTGAAATTGAGCCAATAATTTAATTTCTAGTCAGCCTATTGACGATACTTGTTGTTGAATGCACATAGCTGTGAAATGGCTTCAGCCGAAGGACAAGATATCTATCTCTCGTCACTCAAACAATTCCGAAAAAGATCCAATGTAAGACAAGTAGTTGAGAATTTTGCGGAAGATGTTGCATCTCATACAATGAGTAATATCTCCAATAGCTGCCTCGCGTCTTCCGTTTTTCGTGTTCTTGGTGTTGGCAGTGGACATGGGAAAACTGATCTGAGAATTCTGAATTCAATAGCAACAGCTATCGAATCTTCACAAAAGAAGAAACCAGTGATACACACGGCTATCATTGAACCGAGTGATATGATACAGGAGTTCAAGTCATCAGTAACACCACTGCCGCAGACACTATGCAGTTTGGCTGATGTTTCGTTCGAATGGCACCAGGAGACCTTTCAGCAATTCATCGCATCTTGTCCACGTGAAGATTATTTCGACATGATTCATTTCGTTGCGTCTTTGTACTACATGGATGCCGAAAGCTCCTTAAAAAGCTCTCTTAAGTTGCTTGCTAGCGGTGGAGCCATGTTCTGCATACTTTCATCAGAAACATCGTTTTTCCCGAAGCTGGCCAAGAAACTCAAACCGGATTGCGTCAACCTGGGCTCGGCGAAGAAAATTTACACCCAGATGGATGTTAGGAAAATTGCCCAAAGGAACAACTGGAAATACGAAGAATTATCAAGGGCTCACTACAGTGTCGACATCAGTTGCTGCTTCGATGAGTCTTCGACAGAAGGTGGCTTACTTCTCGACTTTTTAACCCATCAAGAAAACTTCCGTGTTAATGCTGAAAGCGCGGTCTACAGAGAGGCGATGGAGTTTTTGAGCGAAGAATGCAAGGTCGATGGAAACGGAGCGAAATTTATTCAGCCCGAATTCGCTGCCGTTGTAATTTACAAACAATGATCTTTGTCAATTACACATTGTGCTCGTTTCCTTAAGAGAATCATCACAGGTTCTAGCAAGAATATTTTTTCAGCGAAAGGGGTTTTGTTGGCGATCAGCGAGTGATTAATTTAAATGGAACTTTCTTTCACTGTGACTCAGTGATTGGTCTACAGTACAGTTCTTTGAGATGTCACCCTCTTTCAAGAGGTTGTCTGTGTGACTTTTGTCATGTTATTCAAATAACGCCAGAAGCTTTTGTACTAGTCACACAACGAATTGTAGTCAATACCAGCCCGAGTAGGGGTGGTGTGGTGTTGTAGGGGAAAGGAGCTCTTCCTTGGCCCTACTCCCCCCATCGTTGGAATGCCTGCTCAAGCTAGCCTAGTCTTACAGGAAGCAGAAATTTGTCACCAATTTTTGAATACCGGGGATGTGCGGTAATTGGGCCTCGGACAAACTGAAAGAAATCTCACAGGAACTGCTTGCACCCGTCTTTAATGCTTCACAATACTCTCGAATGAAAGTAAATGCAAAATGCGTAGTGTAAATCGCGATTGCTCAACCTTCTAAATATCGACTGTGAATGTTATGTGTAATAATTATAATTATTTGTGCCAAATACTTTTCGATTTTGTATTTCCTCTTCTGATTTTGTTTTGCGTTTCGTGTCTTTCGGAGTTATTTTGATTTAGATATCTCCGATTTCCTGTGGCCCAAACGTAAATGGTACAATCAAAGTTAATTATTATTCTTTGTACTGTTCATCACGAAGTTCCTTGTGCCACTTGGTATAGTTAGGCCCAATTCAGACGTCGTTCTTCTTCCGTGCCGTACTTTACTGCAATTAGGTTTGCTTATGGCGCGGCGGAAGCGCGACTCTGATTCAGACGTCGCGCAATTTTCGAGAAAAAATTCAGCATTTACTGAAGCATCCTCGTGACTACCCCGCGGTAACGCAATCCTAGCCGACGAAATACATTTGTATAATTTAGGATTTTTTGTGTGACACGGTATAGGTACGACGTCTGAATCACTGTCTTACCAGAGTCGTGTAGCACGACAGCGCTTGTCGAACCTAATTGTTTTGCCGAACTAATTAGAAAGTTTGATTCAGATACCGCGCTTTTGCCGTGCTTTGGTCGAACTTGAATTAAGTTCGGCACAGCAGAAGTACGACGTCCGAACTGGCTGGGCTTTATTAAAGAAAAGTACATCTTTATTCGTGAGTGTTCAGGAAAACCGGCTTTTAGTTCAGGCGAGTTATTCATTGATATTCATCGTGTTTACATCAAGCTTCTTAGGTAAAGAGTAGCTAGGACTTGCATTCCTTTATTCTGAGCAAGAATTTCCTCTATTGAAGAGTGTTATAAGCGAGAACAAAGGGATTAAGGAGTAAACTATTTTAAGAAGGTACTCAACTTGAGCCCAGCAGCTTGCTAGCTCTTAATCAACAGTTTAAATCAAAAACCTCAAATAGGTGCGAAATAATAGATTTCAGTTTGAGAGCGTGAGATTGAAATCGTTTGCGTGAGACTTGAGAGCGCTGTAGTAAAATAAAAATTGAAAAAGGGAGGCGAATTATGGGGTTTGACTCCAATGAAACCGAACTCTTTGGCAACGAACCAGTGTGATCGGATCTCCAGATATACAAAGTCTGATGTAAATAACCAATAATGATTTTTGACGTGTTGTGTACAAACAAAAGGTCGCAATTTTTTTTTTCAGAAATTCATGATCAGTGAAGCAGCTTGTCTTAACGCTTGACGACATACTCTCAGGGGGTAGGATGGGGGCAGCTATTGAGGAACAACTCAGGGACCAGTCAATATTTGTCACCGGGGGAGGGGTGGGTCCAGAGGATGTTGATTGTATCACTATGCTATGTGTTTCCTTATTATAAAGTTCACACAATTTTGTGGATACACAGTCAGTGCAACATAATATTTACAAATTCTTTATTAAATGATTCCCGCCTAATATGTTTTAATCTATTATACACTTAACATTTAGTTGTCAGTGGTATCACTATCATCTGTGTCTTTGATCAGTGCGCCTTGAAAGTTAGTCAGCAAACAAGCAACTGTATACAGTTGATTGACAGATCCCAGTATAGACGATGAAATGTCAGAGTCAAATAAATGAAATTCCTTCATCCTTCCTATTGCACGTTCCTCATGGATTCTTACTTTTGCAATAGTTTTTGTTTGCAAAACATCCTGGGCTGAAAATTTAGTTTGAATCTGAAGAAAGGGAGGCAAATTCAAAGAAACTTGTTTACTGCTTAAAAGATCTTCAATATCAAACCCCTTATCTGCCATAACACTGTAATGTCACTGTCATCGAAATCATCGAGCGACTCGGTGCGATTGCTGCTCTTTGTGGACTCACATAAAATGTGGTGGCGTGCTACCTAAAGAGTATCACCATATGAAGTCTCAGGAAATTTCTCACACACCTGCAGATCCTGTCTGGCATTACTACAACAGCTTCCATTTGCGAATTCGACTTTGAATTCCAGTAGCAATTCAGAGCTGGAATCAATCACAGAGGAGCAAAATATTACATCAATGTGGACTGAATTTGGCAATACTGCTCAAAACTATCGTTTAAATTTCAAGCTTGGGCACGTCAATGCAAACAGTATTGGGGGATTCAAGTTTTATGAAATCAGAACTAGGCTGCTTTCTGGTAGATTTGACATTCTTGTTATTTCGGAGACTAAGATTGATGGAAGTTTTCCAGATAGTCAATTTCAGGTCGAAGGCTTTTGCCTGTGTCGAAGCGACAGGAAGGCCGGTGACGGGGGACTTATGATCTATGCGAGGAGTGATATCCATTTCGTAAAAGTAAAATATCTGAAAGGAATAACTCCAGAAGAGTGGGCTGCATTTAGGACAGAGACGATTATCCTTAAGGTCAAACTGAGCAGGGGTTGGATTGCAGTTGTAGGCGTTTATAGACCTCCATCAATTCCGAAAC